TAGCAGGGCCTTACCTGTCACTTGGTCTTAGGTTAATTCTTCGCCTAGGCACTAGCTAGCAGGCCAGTTCTCCGAAGGTCTCATCCCCACCTCTACGACACCTTACTTATCCAAATCATTATTTCTTTTCAGAATGCATGACAATACCATGACAATACCTTACTGGCCTTGGCCACTGCTGATTGACATTGCACATAGGTGCATAGTTTGTTGTCTATAACAATTCCCAAGTCCTTTTCATGTGTTGTTATCCCTAATTCGCTTCCATTAAGGGTATACGTTGCTTGTGTATTCTTTACGCCGAAGTGCAAAACTTTGCATTTTTCAACATTAAATTTCATCTGCCATTTGAGTGCCCAGTCCCCCAGTCTATTTCCCTCTGCAGCAAAGTAATATCGTGCTCACATTGTATTATTTTACAAAGTTTTGTGTCATCTGCAAACACTGAAACATGACTTTCAATGCTGTCTTCAAGATCATTTATAAACATGTCCCAGAACAGACCCCTGAGGGACACTACTTGCCACCTCTGTCCAGCTTGAAAATTTACCATTAATGACAACTTTGTACTCTGTTTTTAAGCCAATGTTCTACCCAAGAACAAGCATTTTCATCTAGACCGATTTCCTTGAGTTTGAACACTAATCTATTGTGTGGAACTGTATCAAATGCCTTGGCAAAATCCAAATAGATCACATCCACGGCAACACCCTGATCTATACTTCTACTTACTTCTTTGTAGAATGCAATCAAGTTAGTTTGACATGACTTGTGCTTCATAAAACCATGCTGAGTTTTGCTGATAACCATGTTCTTCTCAAGGAATTCTTGAATATTATCCCTTAATAACCTTTCAAATATTTTACCAGCCACAGAAGTTAAGCTCACAGGTCTATAATTTCCAGGCAAGGATTTTGAACCTTTTTGAATATAGGAACCACATCTGCCTTCCTCCAATCCTCCAGAACACTTCCTGAAAGAAAAGAATCTTGAAAGATTAAAAACAGAGGTTCACTTATTTCTACACTTAGTTCCTTAAGTACACGTGGATGGATACCGTCAGGCCCCGTTGCTTTGTTTATATTAACTTTCTTTAGTTGCTGCAGCACCTTGTCTTGCGTTAACCAATTACAATTATTCTGCAAGTTTTTAGTAACAATCATTTGAACATCTATTGCCATGGGTTCTTCCTACGGAGGAGAAATAGTTATTTAAAATTCCTGCCTTTTCCTGGTCTTCATTAACTAACACCCCCGTTTCAGTTTTTAGTGTACCTACACTTTCATTTTTTGTGTTTTTTAGAATTTATGTACTTAAAAAATGGGGTTGGTTTTGCTCTCTTTAGGTATCATTTTTTCATTTTGAAGTTTGTTGGAAGATATTCCATTTATCCTCAGTGTTCTTTTCACTAAATAGTTTATGCCAGTCAATATATTGTAAAGCTTCCCTTATTGAAATTGGCCTTTTTAAAATTATATGTTTTAGTATACCCCATGTGCTTTTGTTTTTTTGAGTTTATTTCAAAGTACACTATATTGTGATCACTATTTCCCAAGTGCTCACCTACTTGAATGTTGGTCAAAAGATCAACATTGTTTGTTAAAACCAGGTCCAGACAAGTGTCCATTCTAGTTGGTGCTTGTACAAGTTGTGACATGAAGGTGTCATTTAACAAGTTTAAAAACCTAATTCCCTTTGCTGAGCTACTAGTCCCTCTGTCCCAATTTATGTCCGGGTAATTAAAATCTCCAATAATTAAAGTGTTACCCAGATTTGCAGCTTTCTCAATTTGCTCAAACAGCTGTTGTTCCTCGTCAATATTAACATTAAGTGGTTTATAACATATCCCAACCAATAGTTGGTTTCCCTTCTTTTCCCTAAAGCAGATATTTACCCATAAAGCTTCCACATTTTCCTCATCGCATTCCATTTGCTTAAGATTTGGCTTTAAATCATGGTTGACATACAAACATACCCCACCACCCTTCTTGTTTTTCCTATCCTTTCTAAATAACATGTACCCATTTAAGTTAACATGTACCCATTTAAGTGTTGATGTCATAGTTCTGAATTATGAACACTAAGTTCTTGGGTCTCTCTCTCTGGTTTGATTTCAGTTTTGAATCTCTGTAAAAATGTTCTTTTGCCCTCCACTTTCTATTCACCTATTCTTACCCTCAACTTCTAGCATAGCTTTCATTTATCTGCCAGGTGTATGTCTAATCATGCCACATTTATTGTTTTGCATTTACATTTTTGAAGTCACCACGTAAGTGACTGGCTTTACGATACTACCTCCCTTCCTACAACAACCACTCGCTCTACAGAACTTATCTTTAGCTTTGTCTGGCTGTTGGGGTACTGTCAGGGTGGCGGTCCGGAGCCTGGGACCCAGACACTGTCTGGGCGGCGGTGCAAGGTCCGGGACCCAGTATGCCTGATGATAAGTGGGAGTCTTTAGCGTGAGAGTGGATAGGTCAGGGTCTGGTGCTGGGTAACTGCACGCCCCTTGGTGCTGAGCACCAGCGTTTGTGCAGCCACATTCCAAAACCCTGATGCAGCTACAGCGGATCCCAGGAACTAGGAGCTACGAAATTAAGCAGAACTCCCAGGAGCTGAATAGGGAGGCTCTGCAGCAAGAATGTATCCAGTACAGAAACAAGGCAAGACTAGAGATAGGTACCATACATGAAAACAAGACAAAAACTAGGAGAACCCAGAACCAGATCAGGACAGAAAGCAGAACCCAGAAAATGTACACAAGACATGAGGAAAACAAGAACAAGGCAGGACAGGACTGTACATGAACTTTTAATACAAAATAAAACAAGACAAGATATTATAGGCAAAACAAGAGGAGACATAACTAAGCACTAACTATGAAAATCATGGGGATTTGGCCACATTATATGATCATACATTGCATAAGCCTGCCAACAACACTAATGCACCCCATATCTGTCAGGTCCTACACTGCCTAATGTATGCTAAAACAACCCTACTAAACCACAATAGCACTTTGTAGAGGACCGGCAATATTAAATCCCATGAATTCCGGCTTAATACAGTAGGGGACTACATGGGGGACTTCACATTCTGGGCATTTCTCCCATCAGGCACTGCTGCACGAGAGGGAAACTCCCACTGGAATATACCGTTAAGTGGATTATCCCTCCGTGCAGCAGAACCAACAATTCACATTAAAATACATAACTTTTCGAATACTTGACTGATTTAAATGAATGGGCATTCGGTAGATAGCTGGGGTCTGAGCACACCGTTCGTGAGAATACCGCTCAGATCCCAGCTAAAACAACCGAACACCGTACGAAAAACACATTATTCATAACACAAGTTAAAAATACCAATTGACATAGATGGACTAAACTACCAAACGGCCCGGGACTCTCGAACGGTCTGAAAGCCCAGCGGTGTTCGCACCGTCCAGTAGCTGTTTTCAGTTCCATGCGCTTGACGACCAAACACCGCTGGGGAACAAAGGATCCAAGATGGCCGACCGCCGCGTGGTCGGTAGCCGAACGGCGGCCACCTAGGAGAGCCTCTAATTACCGATTGCAACATTGTTGCAATCGGTTAACAAGCGCCACACGTCCCTTAGTGTGTGGGCTATTGAAAGATGGTTCATTCGGTTCACGAACGGCTCGCAAAGGTGCCGTTCGTGAAACGAAATAGAAAATGACTATCTGCTTTCGGCAGATAGCCAATACAAGCAATACAGCATACAGGATACAGCAGATTACAACCAGGCACATACACAATGGTATTAAAGATCCAGGCAACCCTTAAAAACATATTGTCTCTGTTTAGTCCAAGTGGCTAGGTTTGCCACACACTTACCTGCAAGAAAGGGCGGAGACTTGAAACACTGCTGCAGGTCCAGACTGAAACAAAAGGAAAATGGAAAACAAACAGGTGTGGCAACATAAAACAAACATTTAAATGAACCCAGGAGACTGGGAATTCCAGGGACGGATTACAAGAATGAACCCAGAAAAACCCAGCCAGAATGATCCGCAGCGAGGAACAGGATGTGACAGGTACCCTAAGTAGCCATAGGTAGTTTTCGGCATCTCTTGTCATTATATAGCAGTCCCGCAAGGCCAACTTCCATCCTCAACTACGGAGGTATTCGCTGCTCGGGCCAAATCATAGTTACTGCCTCGCATCTCCGCCCTCTTGGCAAAAGCAGTTAGGGCCTCACCTGTCATGGCCAACTTATTTTTAATCTCTTTAATCTTCACTGAGAAGCCAACACCCCGCCACAACGCTCGGTGGCAAGTGTACCCAACTGGCCAAATCATAGGTAGAGCCTTTCATCGCCACGGCAACTAGTTAGATTCCCAAGTCACCAATTTAGCTTAATTGTTTCGCTCCTTAGCATAACATAGGCCAGGCAATATCTTGGTGTTATAGAGTATCTCTCACTAACGAATTTCCTCTTTCAGGTATGGTTATGAATGCTGATAGAATGTAAAGAATTGATTGCATAATGTAGACATGTATTAAAGTGTTAAACTATTAACTTTTTGCCCTCTTTTTAGAGGCCTATCCGAATGTCGGTTTTGGCACACCACAACCGAATTGTGCACCACTAACATAACTTGGCTTATTGTCCTCAACCACAAATGGAAAGGCTGAGCCTGTGGGCGGAACCTGTGGTTGTGGGAGGGGATATTGCTATAAATACACAGGTCGCCCCTTCCTCTGGGCTGAGACTGTCTGGTTCACCCCACCAACTACTCCCTTTATCAAGCCATTTAAATTGGGCCCTCTTTTTACAGACCTACCTGAATGTCGGTTTCAGCACACCACAACTGACTTGTGCACCTCATAACACGTAACATAACTCGGCTTATTGTCCCCGACTACAAATATAAATATATATATATATATATATATATACATATATATAAATATATATATATATATATATATATATATATAGAATAGAAGCTATGAGATCAATCCTTAACTCCTCTATGACCTATGAAGGCCCACCAATAGAGTTCAGACTTGAGCTCTTGACTCTTGCATTACGGAATAACTACTTTAGATTTGAAGAACGGTGGTATCTTCAAATTGCTGGCACTTCGATGGGGGCGGCAATGGCACCCATGTATGCCAACGCATACATGTACATTTATGAGCAACAATGGATTCTATCCAAGTTTGGTCAGTACATCCAAGGGTACTTCAGGTACATTGACGCTTTGTCGATTCTTTGGGGTGGCAGTGTTTGGGAGGCTTCCGACATGGTACAACACCTTAATCAATTGGAGAGTCCTATCAGATTTACGTCAAATATCAGCACGACATCTGTTCAATTTTTAGATTTGGAAATATCAGTGAAGGAACAGAGAATACCCTATAGCCTTTACACAACGCTGATGCATCGTAACACTATCCTACACAATGATAGTGCACACCCAGGGGCTCTGAAGAAATCATTTCCTAGAGCACAATTCTTAAGGGTAATTCACAATAACTCAGAAAGGGATGTAGTGGAGCAACAACTCAAGGAGATGATGGAGAGATTCCTTGTACGTGGCTACAGATGGGGAGACTTATTAAAAGAACTAGATGAGGCAAAGTCTGCATGCACTAATAAAATGGTCAATAAAGCCCCGAGGATGGTCTTTCCTATGAACTTCAATGATGTGTCCCCAATGGTGTCTAGGGTCATCAAAGAGAACTGGAAGATGCTATCAAGTGACTACACGCTTCCAAAGATTTTCAAAGAACTACCACTTTCTTAGCTATCGGAGGAACAAAAATTTGAGGGACCTACTGGTCCATATGGACCCAGTGAAGAGCTACGAGAAGACCACTGGGATACAAAATCGTGGCAGTGTTCACTGTTTGGGCTGTGTTACATGTGGACACATGATTCCATTACACACATTCCATCATCCACATAAAAATAAGATCTATCAGATCCGTTACACCATTACATACAAGACCCCCTTTGTAATGTATAAGCTTACTTGTCCATGTGGACTCTCCTATAGCGGTAAAAATGGCTCTGTGTGAAAGAATCAGAGGCCACAAATCGAGTATACGGGTAGCTTACCGAGAGGGCAACTCAGATCAACCTGTGGCCAGGCATTTTTTGAATCTTCAACATCCACTTACAGCCCTGAAATTTGTTGCCATTGACCACATTCCACTCCCCAAACGAGGTGGTGATCGTGGAAAACTCCTGTTGTACCGAGAGACATTCTGGATTTTCCAGCTGGATACTATACCCCCTAATGGACTTAATTAAATTATTTCATACCACTCTTTTCTATAAGTCCCCGCTATATTAGCAATTATTTTTAATTATTCTTTTAATTTTTATTATGTTTGAATTACCCCAGCTGTTTATTTGGTGAAAAAATGTAACTTTATCACGTTTATGCACTTTATAATAACAGTTTTACTTTATACTAGTTATAGTAATTCACCTTGCACTTTATATCAATGCACTTCATACAATGGTGCACTTTATGCTCTAGTGCACTTTACATTGTGATGCACTTTATATTATTCTGTACTTTATGTCTACCACTTTAAAAAGAAAATGAGGCATCTTTATTTGTATGATGGACACTATGTCTTAGGTCTTTATAATATGTTTTTCACTCATTTCTCTCTCAGGTAATTCAATACCCTGTTCCAATGATTCACTATATCCCCTTCCCCTCTATAGATCTTGTGTCTTCTAGTGGAATGGCAGTTGTTTATATTGTAATCTGCCCTTATTTCTATATTTGTTTAGCACCTTCTGTGTTTGTTTATGTAACCATGGTGATCAGGTGCTATTCCTGTTGTTGAGTCAACACACGTCACGCCATCACGTAACAAGTGGGTGGAACAAGTACACACATGCGCTCTCTGCATCTCAGAACGCTAGAGGCATAAGACACAACACCTGGGGTAAGTCAATTATCCATGATTCTTTTTTCTATAAATGTGCTGTTGTTTTTATTATACCTTACCTGATCCTGATGAAAGTCCCGAACGCGGTCCTATTTTAAATGAATCTTCCTTAAAGCCTACAACTTTAAAACTTCCGAAAACTGTGAGTGCTGGTCATCCTTCTGTTCCATGTAAATTGTTTCCCAAAGACTGCAAGCACCCGGTCATGATACTTTGGAGCTTTTGAGTGCTAGGATCCCTTGGAATATATATATATATATATATCTCTAAACAAACGGAATGGAGGAGAGGGGAAGCCACTAGCATATAGGGAGCGGAGTTCCCACTCATCCAATATTATATACCTCCTAATATCAATGTGACATAAAAGGGGGAGGGGGGGAAGGAATATAAATCTTTATTTGAAAATACAAAAATCGTCAGACCTACAAAAGATACTAAAAGATGTCACCCAAAAAGACAGAAAGGAGTGTACTAAATTACACCAATTTATTATATAAGTGAAATAAAAATAGGAACACTTGTAGAGAAAAGTATGTAGGAAAAATAGATTCCTTTACTTAATATCTGTACACAATATCTTATGGGTGTATCCATAGAGAGGCCCTTTGAGATAACAAAATGAACGTATCAAAAAAGAAAAAAAAATGGCATTAAACCAGAGATTAATGGAGGCAGGGATATGTATAGTGCCTGGTAGCAGTTATGGAGTCCAAAAGGGGGCAAAAAAGTATAGTCACTAGTACGGGCACAAATGTATGGAGGGGATGTATATACAAGTAGATAATCATTTAAAACAAGGAGTGCACCCACCTACATGTAGAAGATGTGGGTAAATATTTAAATATATTATAATCTCTCTAATAATAAAGATTGCCCACAAAGGCGTATAATGCATAGAGAGAAAAAAAGGGGAATATAACTACTCGGAAAAAAATGGACGAAGAACCCCTCAAAGAACACCACCAAATATCCTAACTTGCCCTGGACTAACTGTCTAGCTCACTCAGTGGAAAACTCAGCTATCTGCTACTTCGAGGCAGCCTCAAGTCTGTCCCGGTCCTCCCATCTAGTCAATGTGCCATAAAAAGATATATGAGATCAAGTAAAAAAAGAAAATAAATGAGGTAACAAAGTAACAAAATATCAAAGTGCCAAAAGAAAAATGGAGTAAATGGAGTAAGCAAAAGTAAAATAATTGCATCGGCAACCCGATAGCTCGATGCGCGTTTCGGCGGTACAATACGCCTCCTTCCTTAGAAGTCAAACCCACCAATCCCTATCCAAGCGCCACCCGAAGGGGGGCGTACATCAGATCCTTAGTCCCTCCTATAGGCGTTCGACCAATGGGACAGGGGGGCGTGGCAACGCCTCAATACACAGACGGAACATCACGTCTGTTAGCCCTCCCATATGTACTTATTCAATGGAATACAAAGAGAAAGTGGCGCCATCCTAGTCAATGGATAGCCCACATACCAAGGAACCCTGCCCACACCTACCCTTCCAATAGAATACAAGGGGAAAAGGGGGGGGGTGGGGGTGTGGGTACAACTCGTTCGGCATTAGTGCAAAGAAGGGATTAATAAATAACCAACTCACTCATAAGATTTATCTTATATCGAAATGGACGATGAATAGTGTAACTGGTGGTCAAATAAGTGAACTAGTAAAGGAATATAAACAGGATTAATGGGTTATAATTACAGGACATATATGAGTATAAAGATATTCAGCAGAATTCACATGTCCATATATCATGAAAAATCTAAAATAAAAAAATAAAAAAAATCTCCCCACAATGTATACATAGAGAAAAATAATAATCACTTATTATGATTACTTAAATTGAAGACAGGCAAAAAAAGGATATATATGAAAAAAATTACAGCAGGGATGTAATGTCAGTTCAAATAAAGGGAGAGAAAGAAAAACCTTAATTGAGACCTCTTGGATATAAGGTATTAAGCTTATAAATCCATCTACATTCTTTTTGACATAGAATTTTGTCAAAATCTCCCCGTCTTTGTTCCCGTTTAACCAGTTCCAGACCACAAAAACGTATATCTCTTGATGATCCCCCATGATGCTCTTTTAAATGTCTGGAGATAGAGGTCTCCAGACGATTCTTTGTGCATCTCACATGTTCCTTAATACGCTCCTTGAAGGGGCGGAACGTCTTTCCAACATACATACATCAATTTACAACTGCAAGTAAGGAGGTAGATCACGCCCTCGGAATTACATTTAAAAAAAATGCATGATTTGAAAAGACTGTTTGCCCTCACTGGCGCTTACTTTTTTAGAGTCCCTCAAGATGAAACTACAGGCCACACATCTTCCACAGCAGTATGTACCTGTGGGAATTCGACGTCCCAGCCAAGTGGATTGAAGATCTCGTTTAACTGAAAAATGACTGGGAACCAAAATATCATGAAGGTTTTTGCCCCTCCGAGCCATAATTGTGACTTGTGGCCCTAATACTTCTTTTAAATGAGTATCCTTAAGTAGAATAGGCCAAAATCTTTGGAGAGACTCTTTTACTTCATCCCAGCCGGTATCAAAAGTTCCTATCATCCTGATAGTGTTTTTTTGAGGTTTTTTGGGCGTCTGGGGGTCTAGGAGGAGGTCTACCCTATTTGTCATGAGTGCCTTTTTATATGCCCTTTTTAGGCACTTATTTGGGTATCCCTTCTCTTTGAATTGTTGTCTCAGAGATTTAGCTTTTATCTTGAAATCTTCAAGATCCGAACAGTTTTGTCACAATCTAAGATACTGTCCCGTAGGGATTCCTTGTTAAAGGGCTCTTGGATGGTGGCTATCCCACTTTAGTAGTGTATATATATATACACACACACATTCCAAGGGATTATAGATGTGAAAATTATAGATCTGAAAATGTGAAAAATAAAAAGTAAAAATGTAAATTATATATATGTTTCAATTATATATATTTATATATATTTCCTGGCCATATCCATGGCAGCACAGCAAGGGGTAGATCCTCCCTATCCCTAATTAGACAGGAACCTAATTAAAACAGAAGGTATAAGTAACCCCTCCTATCCCTCCCACTCTCAGCCTTTTTGTTCCTGTCCTATCCCTAGAATAGCCTTAGTCATTCTAACACTGGAGAATTTTTCTTTTTGGCTTACCTGAGGGTTGTTACCTTCTGCCTCAAGGGAGTTTAGCCTCTCTTCCTTGGGAAGGTTTTAGTACCTATCCCTGTGCAAAGGTGACCCCCTGAAGATACCCCTTTAGTTACCAAGGGTTTTACTTGCTGTGACCCTAGTGGTAGCAAGATCATGCCGTAACCATAATTCCTTGTCAGTATATTTATATCGGCAGACATTTTGTTTTAAGACAGAAATTAAAAGTGTATACTGCCAGTCACTCTCAGAACAGAGATGACTCCATTTTGTATTACAAGGCTAAGACATACACAAGATTTCTTTCTACCACTCTATTCATGAAAGTCTGTGCGAAGGAATGCAACTCATGTGAACAAGACAAGTGATAAGGTATGATGTCTTACAGTCAAAAGGGGGATTGAATACTAAACCAGAGACAAATGTATACATAATTATATATACATATACACACTATCCACTTATAATTTACTATTGTTATATTAATCATATATAATTAGTATCATGTTAATAATATAGACTATTCATGGATAAATATCAATGAAGAAATATCATATTATTTACTAATGTTAGTGGAGTATAAATAATCTTAAACACAGTTTCACACAGAAAAACCAGACACCAATGACTAATAACACTAAGTAATTAATTTTACTTTCTAAAAAAAACGGACCATTTCTAGTTTC